CGTACTTGTTGATCACTACCAAGTAATAATCCTGACACAAAAGCAACAATATCACTTTCTGATAAAGTGTTATTTATATTTTCATGTTCCAGACTTAATGTGATTGCTAAAGCAGGCATTCTACAAAGTTCTACACACTTGGCTCTTACTGCTAATGCTTGACTTGGATTCATTTGACATAACATTGTTAAAGCCATTGTTCTAATTCTGCCTAAAGCAGATTCTTCTTGCCTTTCCCCATTAGCAATTAAATGTGCACAAAGTTCAGAAAAACTATCAGGAATATTAGCAACAATCCAACAGATTATTTCTGGACCATGTTTAACATGTAATAATGTTTCTGCAATATCCAAAATTGATAATACTGTTGGTAATTCTGATAGAGCAACACAAATCACATAACTAATTTCTTCCATATATACTGCATTATCAAATAAATCAGATTGTTTGATCTGAAATTCTTGATTTTTCTGTTGTTCTTGTATCTGTGAAGCAATATATAGCAATTCACTCAATACTAATCTTATTCTTCTAGTAGATTCACTGCGTTCAAATTCTAAAGCAAGGCCACTTTGTAATGATTGAGTCAATATACTATCCCTTTGCAAACTCCCCATCTTTTGTCTAAAAAAGCAGTTATAATTTTCTTAGAAACATAACTTATTTAATTTATAATACATCCAACAATTTTAAATACTGAAATATTGTCAACAATACAACTAACCTCAATTGTTGTTCTTTTCGAACATCAGTTTCCAATGCATGAAAGTCAATCGAAAGTAATGCAATTATTGAGTTCACTGATTCAATTCCAGATAAAATTGTCAAAACCTGTTTTCTTTGTTCTACACATTCTTTTGTTACATCTAATGGTGATATAAGACTCATCCGTACTAAACATGGTAAAATTGGTCGAATTTCTTTGTGAGTGCATATAGCTAATATCGGTATATCTACATTTTGTATTGCAGCAAAAACTCGCGGCGATACACGTGTACTTTCTTGCATGACTATCACTTATTACCGCTTCAAATTGATTAAACACAAACACTTTGTACTATAAGATTGTATTATTTGTAAACTAACCAACTATATTTTTTCTCAAGTCACAACATATATGGATGTATTACAGTTGATTTCATATACTTAGTGAACGTATTCTTAAATATTTATCAAATCCATTAAATTGATATTCTAAAGTAGAGAAAAACATTATTATATATAATTTCAATCAGGTTAGGAAGAATAATTCTGCTATCAATTTTTAGCCGTATCAATACGTATGCGTAAATGAAATGAAAAACTTCTCATCGATCTTTGCCGAATCCCTAGATTCCCTAGATTACCAACCGCATAGCAGCGGTGGTTATGTGAAATAATTGTTTTGCCATTTTCAGTAATCTTAAATGACCTTTAATGAGCTTGCTGAAAACGTCTCAACACCGGCTATTACACAGCAATATAAAAAATACAGCATTCCATTTAAAAAAGTAGAGATAACCGTGAAATCTCTATGCCTCCAGCTACACAAGAAATATTTGCATTACAATATGTCCTCCTCTATGCCATGTAAGTTTTGTATATAACATTTTTCTACATTATTACAAATAACGGAAATATTTAAGGTGGACAAAGTTATTGGTCCACCCTGTATATGTACTTATGTACCTCATCTGTGCTTCTAATCGCACTTTATCATAAAGTGTAGCGACTGCCAATCATATTGAAATAGAGAAACAAAAATCCCTAAACTAGTTAGTTTGTAATGTTACGTGATGTTGCAGAGATTTTTGTGTAAAGAATGGGTTCCCCGTCGTCGAGCGCTGATCCGCTCTGCTCGCGTTCGATCTGCTTATCTGGTTTCAATCTTGATAGAAAAAGGATCTGGATACTCTTCTGGTGTAATATTAATTTTAAAGTAAGGTTGAATAAAAGTAAAAGGAAAATTATTCCCCGCTATGAAACTAATTTACTAATTTATTTTACAACTTTTGGCACTAAAATGCCAGTGAGTGCCGAAGCGACATCGAGACATAAGACCTAATGTAGCAGGCTTTTGTTAATATTAATATCCAATAATATACATCATTTCCCTACTTATGGAACCACAGGATGGAACCGGTAGCAGTTTGTGCACGTATTCAGCATATGATTGCCTATGATCGGTGTCTCCAATTTATTTTTATGTTAAAAATATACAACTTTTTCGGATTAAAACCAGTTAAAATTTTTCTGTAAAAAAAACAAACATTTTGTTTAAAGTGCTACCATTTTGTTAATTTTTGGTTTTTGAAGCGATTGAGGCGCCGATCATAATCCTACTTCTAAGGATGAAAATAAGCTTTGATTCTTTAATTTTGGATAACGGAGAGAGCCGTTACAAATGCGCCCGACAAACAAAATTTTTTTTAAGGAAATTTACATCATCAACTATAACTCTGTAAATTTTCAATAAAAATGCTTCTAAAAATTCTGAGTATTACTTCGAACCTACCTGAATATATGTACAGAACGCATGTTATATATGTGCTACGTATATTAAACTTATAGTTTTTGTTAAATAAACTCGCAAACATCTCGTTAAAAATGGTCCTTCAAACGAGGATACCCCCACAAGGGGGTATTCTAGTCTAGACTTATCAAAAAATCGATTCTTTTTTGCTTTTTCTGACAGTATAAGTTTTCGAAATTATGTCTGCGGAAAGATTTGCCCAAATTTATAATAATAATGAGGTTGTACATATTTTAAAAACACTACACACAGCTCGCAGCGTGTGACGTAAGTACTTACAATGTCCATCGACAGTGATAAAATTTTGGAAGTAATTAAACCGATTTACGAAAATTCATCTGCAGACAAATTATTGAAGAGATAATTATATATGGAAACACAAAATAATAACAAATCATGAAATTCGTTGATTTGAAATTTCGCTTCAAAACATGTACATTCAGAAGTGGCCAGCTGTCAAAATCGCGACGTGTTTAACCATCAGTATATTCAACGAGAGATTTTCATAAATTCTGCATGCTTTTTCTATATTGGGAGTAGCTATTGGCCAGCAAGCAGAGGTGTACGTAAATTCCCGACATAAGAGTCGGTCGGCAGAAGCTGCCAAAAAGGCTAGGGTTGCGCTTGTGAAGAGAAAAAATCAGCTGAGCAGAACTTTTTTGAATAAGAGGAAAGTCGACTATACGACTATACTATACGACAGATTAGTCGAAAGTATAACCATTTTCATTTAACTGGTATGAAAAGCTTTAAACGCGTTTTTCTCGAAATAGTATATTTTGCAGTGGCTGACACGATATCTCAAGTTCCAGTTGACTGACTTCAAATTTTGCATGCACGTTCAGTAGTGTGCCGTTATTGCAGGATCCACGGAAACCAAACAATTCCTATTTTTTCTTAATTTTATGGTTCACAAAACACGAAAAAAGATGGAAAATATTAAGATTCAAACTTCAAAGTGCCCCCATTTTAAAAATTTTTAATATTTTTCTTTATCCTGGTTCACACCATAACCACATTCATTCTAATCAAGAATCTTTTTGACTATTCGATTCGGATAAATAGAATGGCCGGTATATAAATAACTTATAATTTAGTCAATTTTGATTATTTTCACTTTAAAAAAATACGTTATATTCTTAAAAAATGAGTAAATATATGTACAAAAACTCGATAGTAAAAAGTTGTATGGCTTGTTTGTAAAAAAATCTCAAAGAAGACCTAAAAAATGACTAGACTAGAATATTCCTTTAAAATAAATTGTTTTGTATTCTGATTGATCAGTGACTATTTGATGTATGTATGTTTTTTTCCTTATTGGTAGTTGGTTTCGGTTGTTTTGTAATGAGAAATAGCATAAGAAAGGAGTAAAGTACCAAATTAAATAAATATTCAAAACGGATAAATACAAACTAAACTTAAAATTTCCAAACAAATGTTATCATTATCTGATAATCACCACACTTTTATATAAACATTAAAATACTCTGCTCTTACATATTACAGGAAATCTTTTTTTGATTTAAACTTAAGTTTAATTAGTATTTTTGAACTGTTTTATGATATTATTCTAGTTACTATTAAATATTTATCATTCTTTATTTTGCATGTTAGTTTTTTACCCAGTTCATTAATATAAATAAGAAATTTATTTTTCGCAAAATAATTATGTTGTGATGCAAATAATTACTTAAATGAAAAATATAGTTTCTTAACTCTGAAGTACATTTGCTTTTATAAAAATAATTATATATTGTTTTTATTTTATTTTCTTAATTGTATTCTTACTATTGCCAATGAGAATGCATGCGCATTTAAAATATGACTTTCAATTTATTGTAGACATTTTTTACTGCTTAGCGAACGCCTTCTGTATTAAAAAGAGTTCAAGACGTTCGTAAGAATTAAACTTATATTTTAAAACACAATTAAATAAATATAACGAATAAATTTGAGTATATAGATAAAACAAAAAACTGATATTGACGTCATCACCTAAGGTTTATTTATAAAATTTCTGAGGTTATACGTACTTTGAACCATCGTTATCTACGCCTGGATACTAAGTAACGGTACGTAACGTACTGACCGATGTCATTTTTCATAAAACTATATAATTAAACAAATACCTTTAATAATATAATATACTGATAAATTTTTTATGTTAACTGTATATTCAGTTTAAAGTAATAGTCACTAGCTAAGTTTTATTCAGGTAATTAACGTACTGTATATATCAGAATCCTTAATACGATTT